AATTTTTTCTTTGCCTTTTATAATTGTTCTGACCGACAATTCCGGTAGATCAAACTTCTTTGCCAATTCACAAATTTTCATTTTTGTATCGAAGTCTTTAATAAGTAAAGTCAAATGAGTTAAATGCATTATTAACGAAGCGTTCAAAAAGTTTAACGAAATAGGAATAATGATGATGTCATTCTCGTTTAATTCATTCGACTTTACGAACATACCCAATGTTAACTTTACATTCCAAAGATAAAGTTTTTCTTTTCTTGTTTGATGCAGAAGAATTAGTTCTACTTCGTTTGGATGACATAGTAGAGTCTCTCAAGTCTCCGTAGATATAACAAGCACAGAAATAAATAACACTAAATAAATTGTAGCTATGTGTGGATTCCATGCAACACATCCAAACATGTAAGCTGAACAATAGTGTGGGGGGAGTGAGTAATCAAGGGTTGCGTGGTGCTCAAACAAAAGACGAATCGACGAGATTTGAAAATCATGTAACTCCGGGTTTGCGTAAGTTGGGGTAGCGTAAGTCGAGGTATTACTGTATATATTTATTTTGGCTTGCAAAACATTAGCTTCAACAAGTTGGAAAGTGAGATCAAGTAAGAAAGAAGACAGGCAATCATAAAACAGGATAAAAATTAATTTCTAGCATTAATTCAAATAAGAATTTAAGTGGGAAAATATTTAACAGTAATTAAGTTGATCATTGAAATCAAAACTATACCAATTTAGTATTAAGCTAGTATACAGTATTTTATTTTAATAGGCTACTTTGTACAAATAAGTCAGATATACATCATTTGGATCTCATAAAACAAAACTATTCGACTATAATAATATTATAGCTCAATAACAACAGTTTGTTATTTATTCATGACATTAGATTAGTGGATTTCTTGTTTATATGTATACATACATTCTATATATATATAGAGAGAGATGGAAATGTGTGAAAATTGCTTCTTGCAATGCCAAAACTTTAAGAAAAATATTAATACTGTTTATTGGCATTATTATTTTTTACTTGAAACAATACTACAAGTACTTTCAGCAAATTACAGATTGTTTTTTTCAGGCATATAGAATAATGGAACCTTACAATTTAAAATATATGTTAATGTGTTCCAAAAGACAAATTTAAAACATATTCCATAGGCTGTGTCAATACATTGAAAAAAAAAACAATAATAATAATAAAGATAGAAATAAAAAAGATTGGGGGTGCAAAAATGTTTAATTTAGAATTAATTTGAACAAAAATTATCAGGCTAACCTCTTATATAATGTGTGCCATATTGCTGGAAGGTTGAGTGAAGGTTCATTACACAAATTAAGCGTTGTTATTTAAATTGACTCCCATATGAAAATGACCCTGCAATCTGAGCACTGTTGAAGTATGGTGGCATCAACCCATAATACATTGTAACCATTTTCTAAAGTGTTTCTGGCAAGTTTGGTAGAGGTTCTGCAATTTTTGATGTCTCGACGCTCTTGAAAGTGGCTAGCCAATTTTCTAGTTGTGGTCCCTAATATAAATTTATTCTCTATGGAAGAAGAAAAGGAAAGAAAGATTACCTTCCTAGATTTGTCTATACACAAGACTTACATGCAGCTTGGGATCTCAGTACACCACAAGTTTGAACTACTCCCTTACATCATACCAGCCAACTTTTTCCAGCCTCTCGAATATGTAAATGCAGCCATTGCTGTTCTTATTGACAGGACATATTTATACCCTTTGTCACTCTTGCTTATACACAAAGAATTGAGTCAGGTTGTTACAGCAGTACACAATGCTGGTTATACAACATCCAAATTCAAGTACATCTATAATTTTTACCTCAGCTCTTTTCCCACCAACTGCTTTAAGATCTGATGACAAAAAGAAGAGTTGGATGTTTGTTCAACCATCCATTCCATATTTGGGGGGGGCATTGCACATTGTATTGTATCTGCTTTCAAGAGACATGGCATTGTACAGTATTTCCTATAAAACTGTAAATTTCTCTGTGCAGATTATTATGTAAAGATAGGGATAGCTATATCCTTTTGGAGAAGTCAGGGATCTACATAGAACTAAAAGATAATAGAATATAATGTAGAATGGAATTTGAATTAACTCAAACAAGATCATAATGAGAATAACAAATAAAATAAAAATAAATAAAGATATAATAAAATAAAAAATAAAACAAAAAGAACACAAAGATATCCTTTGTATAAAAAAAAACAATAATTATGTTGGATCAAGATTTAAGAGGGGTTTAATGTGATATTAAATATCAGTTTATGAAGCATATTATGAAACCCAAACAGTTAACCAGAACAATAAAAATTAAAATTGTAAATTAAAAAAGACTTTTTTTAATTATTTGAAATTTCAATTCGCTGCTGTTTATAAAAATTTCAACACAAAGACGTGAGCTATTCAAGGGAAATTTATTTCACAGATTACTTATCTTACAGTAGATAATTAAATTTACAGAGCTATACAGAGTTGTACTGGAATAAAATTCAGTGCTTTGTAAAGCCAACAAGAGCGGAGACGACGGTCTCTAAACATCGGAACATTGAACGAGAGGTTATGAATTTGCTCTTGGGGAATGTTCTGCCAGACTGATTCTATGCGTACGACTCAAAGCTAGTGGATACGCATGGTAACTACTGAAGGGCTTGATGGACCAGTCGCTATATTACTATATCCAGAGTATATTCCATCAGGGACAAATCTGACCAACGTGCAGGTCAGGAAATAAGCTGTTTCTGTCGTTCTTGAAGAACATATGGACATTCTATACAATATGTGGGCGAGGATTGTTATACTGAAAGAGAGCACCAGAAATCAGTCGAAGTAATGGTACTACTTCAGCCTTTAAAACATCGTCATGTAGCGCTGCCTGCTCAGGAAACTTGAAACGGGTATGAGACGAAGTTGCGTATTCAATGGTATGGCAACCCAAACTCACGACACTGAACGTACGGCTGGTGTAACGTTTCTTAATGTACGCTTTCATATGCCTGCCATTCACCATGTCTCTAAACAAAGATGCAACTATCATAATGCCTAGTATTTTCAGAAGAGTTATAATTTAATGTATCAGTTATCAATGAGCCTACCAACGTGGTACCATTGCAGTCTATGGTCGCAGATCAAAGGAAGTCACAGTAATGGGTGATGAACAAACATCCTTCTCAGAATCAGCCTTCGACGGAATCAAACAATACTGCAGAATCCTAGATGTTGCTACGTGGTCTGTCAATGCCATATAAGTAAATGTATCTGTTCTCCCGTGCAATCGTGAGAATTTGCGGTCTTGTTCCATGACCACAGAGTCCTCCTCTGTCCACTGGTGACATATTCGCACTACTGTACTGGTATTTCCCAAATTAATGGCAATTTGAAGGTGGGAAAGTCTGAAACGTGTTAGTAGCGCGATCTTCTTCGGCAACGAGGATGGTTGGTCAGTAGGAATACTGTCACGACTAAATTTCGCTTACCAGCGGCCAAGTGGATAAAATCCCTGAACATTGAGAGTTGGTCGCGAGTTCGTACCTAACCAACAGGGTTTTCTTCACGTGTCTAATAGTTAGGTTAGTTTTTCGTAGAAAGTCCTCCCGAAAGACAATCTTTGTAGACAGTCCACGCTGTTGCCTTATTCCATCAATCCAATCCAACGACTGCGCTCACATCAATTACTGATCAAATCATTGTGTCCAATACAGGGAAATTTAGAGCACTGTTCCCAAACTTAATTTGTATATGCACTGTAAATGTAATCATTTACATATTTCACCCTGATGTGCTCATTTTGCAAATTTTAAGTCATTTCGATTTGTTTTTCAAGATATTGCAATTTTCACAAACAACAAGTGAATATATGAACGATGTTTACTGCGTCAAAATGTCAATATCATTTTTTTATTTTATAAGAAAATAANGGATAACATAACACAAAGATATTTTAAATTGAAAATTTATATACATATGATACTTTTAGTCTATATAATAATAATATTTTTAGGCTGCCTTTGCTACATTTCAAGAATTAGATGAACAAATTGATTTTGTTGCTACAAAAGTTGTACATTTAGGAGACCAGTTAGAAAGTGTCAATACTCCAAGAGCAAGAGCTGTTGAGGCTCAAAAACTTATGAAACATTTTGCAGAATTTTTAAGTCCAGGACCATTAACCTCAGAAATACTAACAGATCAGTTTAAGGTATAGTGTATATATATATATATAAATAACAATAGTAGTTTTTATAAAATAATTTTTACATCTATATTTTGTATTTTATTATAATGTTTTAATACATTTTCAGTTGTATGAAGGGGCAGATGTGATTCAAAAACTACATTTAATTTCTCAAGAATTGCCTGTGGAAAAGTAAGTTAAAAATTTGTTGATTGTTTTAGAGTTCTGATAACAAGAAAATTAACATATCTTATTTATTTCTTCTTTTGAAGAAGTAGGAATATTTAATATATTAAAAATAATGTAGTTTAAGAATTTCAATACTATTTATATAAATCTAAGTTGCACTTCAGCAATTATTCAGAATTATTTTAAGTTATTCTGTTTAATCATTCTTTTACTTAGAATTATTTGCATTTCATTAAGTTAAATTTTTATTGTTGATTATGCCATATTTTATTTTGTAAGATTAATGTTGATTTTCTTTTTAGATTTGATAAAGCACGTAAAAGAATTGCTCAGAAGTATGATGAAATTGAGCGAGCATTGATTGAGGAATTTGTCAGGGCACATAGAGCTGACGATAAAGTCAAAATGAAAGAAATTGCTAGCATTTTATCACATTTTAAAGTAATTATTTTTGTTACTGTTTTAAATAATTGCAGATACTTTAGATGTTAATTAAGATATTGTTTGTTTTTTCTTTCTGTATATTAATACAGTTACATTAAAACAAATTAATTTCAGGGTTATTCTCAATGTATTGATGCCTTCATAGAACAAAGTCAAATGGTAATTTGATTTTTTCTTACAAATGATCATTTTATATAATTTATTTACTTATTATTATAATAATTTTGATAAATAGGGAGCATTTATAGGAGTAAATATTTTTAATGATATTGTGCCATTATGTGCAAAGAGTCAAGTAATTATAGAAGAAGTATTTACTAATCCAGAACAAGTAATGGCAAAATTTGTTCTTAATATATTTCATGGAAAATTACAAGTAAGTATTGTTATACATTTTTTTATTATTTAAGTTATACATAAATTATTGTCACTTCTGTTAAAACTTTCTACATATTAATTTTAATAAAATTAAATGTTTCATCAAACTTAATTTAATGTTTAAATACTATAGTGATTTGAATAATTTATTAATGAAGAAATTAGTATTTTTTGAGAAATACAGAATATTTTCTTCAAATTTATCTGCTAAAGATGATTATATACATAACCATCCTCTTGCAAAACAGCAGGCATGAAGCAGTTTGTTTATATTTACAACTGTTATTCTCTTTGGAAAACTTACTATTTTCAAATGAAACTTTGTAATTCATAGAAATTTTATTCCAATATTTTTGATAACATTTAATATATTCTACTAAGATGCTGTCAAGGTTTAAATTAATTATCAAAATTAATTTATAAATTGAAAATTAGCATTGTGTAATTAATAGTTTTTTACTAACATAAAAATGCAGCTTTTATGGCTTTTGCAGATTTGCAGTGTTTAACATTTTTAAGTATGTTCATTTTGCATATATACCCAGTTCTGTTTTTCATGCACTGTGTTTTTATATGATTTTGATCTAACGTGAATTAGAAATAACGATACAAAGTCAATCATACATCTAGAAAAGATATTTTATATATTCTCTCTTGTACTTACAAAAATAAAGAACAACATTCTTAGAATATTTTTCTTTATTTGTTATTTGCATTCTTGATAAAGAAAAATATTCTAAGAATATTTTTTTTTATCAAGAATGCAAAATCTGATAGATTCAATATAATTTCAAAACAAATGAAAATTTCATATATACATGAATGGATCAAGAATAGTTTTTATTTTTCAAAATTTTTAAAATTTTAACACACAAATAATTACCAAAGTTAATCATACAAAATAACATACATACAAGAAAGACATTGGCCGTACATGAAGTGTTTAGCTGGCAGAAAAGAGGGTAAGGGGAAGAAGGAGGGAGAGGAGATAGACAGTAGAGAAAGGTAGGATCCCTCTGAACAGTGTACATAAGGCTACAGTACCCTCTGTTTGATATTGGCGTGCAGTTTTTAGGCTGCAAGGCCGTAGTCCCTCCGAAGGGTCTAAAAGAAAACCTGAATGTAGCGAATACTAATAATTGAGTGCTGCCACAAATAGCTAAGTGTTAAAGTTAGTGCCAAGTGGCTGTTAGTAGAAAGACTTATATCTACTTAATACTAATAAAACAATGTGATCACGAATCTTAATACTACTTAACAGCTAATAGACAGCACAAAAAGCAAACAAACACAATGACAAACTAGACAAGACGAACGGACTGACAGAGACAAACAAGCAAGACCCCAAAATTTTTATTTTTTATTTATTTGAAACATACAGAACAACAATCATCATCCAATTAATTAAAACTGANTTTGGGGGGGCATTGCACATTGTATTGTATCTGCTTTCAAGAGACATGGCATTGTACAGTATTTCCTATAAAACTGTAAATTTCTCTGTGCAGATAACTGTGACTTCTGGTTTGTATTGGAAGTTCATATATAATTAATTAGGGTCTCCTGCCCCTTAGTTTTCCATATCTGGTCTTGAATTTCATTTATCTAACATTGTTCTTGAGATTAAGGAAAGACAGACAGACAGAACAGTGGGAATTTACAGGTTTACAATTTATATATAATCAGCCAAAATAAATGCAACGCAAAATATATGCAAGCCAAAATAAATATATATACAGTAATACTCCGAACTTATGCGATAGGTGGGACCGAGCAGTAACCGCGTAAGTCGGGGTATAATTTCGCATATAAATACTGTACATATAAAAATTTTTAATTGGGGCCGGAGGCTAAAGAAAACAATAATTTAGAAAAAAATGTTTAATAAAATCTTAGATAATACATATGTATAACAAAATAGGCCTATATTATTTTACAATTTTTCACATTTACTTGATTACTATGCCATAATTTTAACATTGTTTCCATCTCAGCGATAATACTGCGACGTTTACGAATGATGCTTGAATTTAAAGATTGAGCATTTTTCACAGCTTCGAGAATTTTTTCTTTGCCTTTTATAATTGTTCTGACCGACAATTCCGGTAGATCAAACTTCTTTGCCAATTCACAAATTTTCATTTTTGTATCGAAGTCTTTAATAAT